TGGGTGGGTCATGGGTCTGTGTCTGGCCCCTACCTTTTCCTCTCTGGCATTAGTACTGTTCCTCTGCTCTGCTTCCTGGTCACCATGAACTAAGCCTCCCTACTCTGCCATGCCTTCCTACCATGATATTTCTGCCTTGGAGACAGCTGGCCACAGACTGAATCCCCTGAAAATGTGAGCCTTTAAATTATGGATACTGGGTATTCTGTCCTAGTCACAGGAAAGCTAACTAATACACCTATCTACTTCCCTCCGCCCAACCTCACTTTATCTCCCTTTTCTTTTTATCTCATTGCTCATTCGTGTTAGACAAATATCTACTAGGCATCAAGTACATGCTCATGGCTACAACGTGCACTGAACAGTTGGACATGAGCAAAACATAGTCTCGCCCTCTCAAGTTCAGTTCAAAGCAAGCAGACAGGTGAGCAACTATAGTACAGTAAGTGTTGGGATGGAGTTCTACATGGAGTCTGACGAGTGGAGGGAAAAGACCCCCCACCCCGAAGGGTGGCCAGAATGCTTTCTCCAAGAGGAGGCTTTACCAGGTGTATATATTGTAAGTAACAAGTGATTTACAACCAAGAAACTTTTGGTAATATTCTGAACACCCAGGGAGCTGGGTAAAGAGAAAGATGAATCAATTCAGACTACTGAATTCCTAGCATGTGCACTATGGAAGTCTACACCCTATGCTCCTATACCCTACTCATTATGGCTTTCTTCAGAAGGAGGGCAACTGTCTAGATGGGCTTTAGTAAAAATATTAATTTATTCAGGATGCTATGAACTAAATTGTGTACTCCCAAAATTCACCTTGAAACACTAACCACCAATACATTTGGAGATAGGGCTTTTAGGAGGCAGTTGAGATTAAATGAGATCATAAAAGTAGGGTTTTAGTCTAACAGCCCTGCTTCCTTATAAGAAGAAAGAAGATCAGATATGAGTGTTCCTTCTCCCTCTCTCCCTCCCTCCCTCCCTCTCTTTCTCTCTCTTTCTCTCTCTGTCTCTCTCTTGTAAGGACACAGTGCCAAGGAGGTCCTCCTCTGAAAGACAGGAAGAGAGCCCTCACCGGGAACTGAGTTTGTAGGTACCTTGATCTTGGATTTCCTAGCCTTCTTCATTGTGCAAAAATAAATTTCTTTTGTTTAAGTCACCCAGCCTGAAGTATTTTATTATGACTTCCTGTGCAGATAAAGACAAAGTTGAGGACAGAGCTCGAGCAAAGCGAAGATTTGATAATTGCACAGTTTCTTCAAAACTACAAACATTTTGTATGTCTCTAATGATTCTGTTCTATACATTGAACTTTAAAATTGTTTAACTTTTTAATTAGCATGTGCTCACCACAGAGGGATCATAGCATAATGGAAAGGACAGGTGCTGGTTGTGGTTTGCTGTGACCTTGGCCACGTCACTGGGCCTGTGTCTCCTGCCTCACAACACCCATTGGAAATGTCTGCAACTCAGCTGAGGATTGCCTCACACAGTGTTCCCAGTGCAGAGCAGCCACTCTCTGGTAAGTGAATGTCAATGAAACCAGAATAGTCTGGAAGATGCTCAGTGAATCTCAGCCCCTCCTTAAATCCACTAGTTTAGGAGCAGATCTCATATTTACTACATTTACTATGTGCAACCAGAATTCCTTCTTTGACTATTTTTAGTTTCCAACCCTGTGATTTTATTTGCCTATCTCCCTGCTTCTCAATCCCATCTCAAAAAACGCTGCAGGGTATCTGTAATTATATTCACCAATATGGCAATGCTTATATTAAAATAACCCTCGTGATGTGGAATTTATTTCAGTTCACTTCACTTTGTATTATATATTTTAAAACATCTCGTAAAAGCCATCTGGCCCTTTAGGACGTAACTGTGAGGTTGCCGAGAAATCATATAAACAATGTCAAGATTTTACCATTATTGCAAGAAGTAGAATTTTTAACTCAGAGGAACACAGAAAAATGCAGATGCCATCCTTTCAGAATTTTGGGATCCAGCAGGACAGGATTTATGGGAGTGAACTCTGCAATGTCTCACAAACATCTATCTCTTCAGCTCAGCATCCTTAGTCCTGTTACTCTGTGTGGAGTTCCACCAGTGAGGACTTGTAAGGGTTACTGAATCTTGCTTTGAAAAGTGTCCATGTCTACTTCTGTGAGGATGAAAGCAGTCACTCAGTGTGAATTAATTCTGTGACCTGTCCCACTGAAGGGTTGGGGGTTTTAGGGAGAGGATGGGTTAGAGATAGAATAACAAGGAGACAGAAAGGACAGGATAAGGAAACATTCAGCCCAGGAGAAGGTGTCTCAGATAGTGCACTTTAAGGAAGAAAAGAAAGCTGAGAACCCCAGAAGTACCCAGTTTAGGATATAGCTGAGGCAGAATAAAAGCCAAACAAGGGCCTGGGGACCCCAGACAGTAAGGGGGCCACTATAATTATTGTTATTCCATGTGTTTGCTTAAGCAGCACCCATTCTACACTCCCCACACCTCCCTGCTGAATTCTCCCTTTTGATATTTTTGCAGAAATGAATCTGGCCCCTTGCAAATCTAAGGAAGACCAAGTGTAGGTTTTCTGCATAGACTCTTCTGCATTGCCACAGCCACCCAGAGAAGGGAGAGCTCCCTCCACAGCCTTAGAACTGCACAGCCCTTGGAAACACACCCTTCAGAGCTTTGGATTTAAATCAAACACTTCATACGTCACTGACAAGAGCGAAGCAGTGGCCCCTGTGATCAAGTCATGAAACTCGGCAGATGGTCTGATTTTCCACTTCAGAAAAGAGCACACATTGCTCATGCTGCTCTGCCACTTTGACTTCAAAGTCCTCAGGTCCTTATATTCAACCCCTGTCACCAAGAGCAAGCAGCACTATCACCCAAGGGAGGTACCAGAGGAGAGATACGGAGCGGTTATGATATAAAGATGTGCTCACAAAGATCACGGAGGGGCCTGGGGACCAGGAGAAGCAGCTTCCTATGAGCTCAACACAGGGCAAAACTGATGAGATGCACATGGTGGGTCCACTGACCCTGCTGGCCTTGGTGGGCAAGTGTGGCCCTCCTCCCACCAACTGGCTTTAAGGGAGTCTGTTCCATCCTGACTTTAAGAGACTGTGTACTCCTGAGCGGAGTTTTCCAAAACTCAGTCAGTGACCAGAACTTAGAGTGCCTACCGCACCATCCCTGCTGGAACATGCCAGTCCCTGCAGAGTTGTGAGTGGGACAGGTGCACGCAGAGCCTCACCTGGTCCAGCTTCCAGTGGAACTCCGCAGGGCGAAAGGTGTCGGCCTGGTCAAAATCCTTCCGCAAGAGGAAGACGAGACGGCAGTTGTGCACGTATAGGGCATAGTGGTGCCGGTTCATTTCTGAAAGGCAAAGAGGAAAGACTTGGGGAGTGAGTCAGTCTCTGCCAGAGGAATCTTCCTGCTATCTCGTCTAGCACAGCTCAAGGGATAAAGAAACAGACACTCTGGTTTTGTTTTTCACAAGTGGTTTAATGAACACTCTGCAACACACCTCGTGGTGGGGTTCACTGAAATGGAAGAAGAGGACTCAGGAGAGCCCACAGCAAAGCTGCTGTCAAGAAGCCTCCTGGGCTTTAAATACATCAGCCTTCTACTCAGGTCCTGCATCAGACCCAGGGTAAAGTTACTCAGGTCGACAGGCTTTTATGTGGTGACAAACATTTCCAGGAGGCTTGAGTGTGCTCTCTGCCTGTGCCACCAGCTGATCCAGACTCCTGTAGCATAGCTGGTTCCTGTTAGAGTTCTGAGGTTTTGCTGTATTTCATTGGGCTGACAGCAGTGACCACAGAGCATATGGCTGTTGCCTACCTAACCTGTGTTAAGAGGAGATGCCCTGCTTTTAGCTGCAGGGAAGATGGGATAGATTGATTTCCCACATTACACATAATTTTCTAACTCTCCAAAGCAATGAATAAACACCTTTTCATGGCCAGCAATCAACAAAAGGGACATTTTCTCCTCTGATATAAAAACTTTCTTGCCTAAGAAGCCTTATGTAATGGATATAGCTATGAAGCCTTCTACCAACTGGCAGAAGAGGAGCTGTTCTTTGACCATACGCATATGTAATTGTGCTGTAGTACACAGGGAAATCTACCAGAAAGCACCTGCTGCATCAATGTTGGATGAATGAACAGGTGACCATGGTGGCAGAAACAGCATGGCACTAGATTCAGACAGACTTTGGATGAAGCTGTATCCCTGGGTGACATTAGGAGTTATTTAACCTCTCAGAGCCTCAGTTTCCTTAACTGTATCATGACAGTGATGCTGGGCTATCCTAATGTAGCCTAACAATAGGATATTGTGATTGTTTTCCACCTATCCTGTCTTATGCTACCTGAGTTGTATGTATCAGTAGTATTAAATGTGCATAAGAATATATAGGTTATATGCTTATGTCCATGTACGGCTTCTATGTATATGTGTTGTATGAGTTTTATGTAAATACATTGTATGAATTTGGAGTGGCTGCAGCCATATTTGCCAACCTAAAATTGATATGCATATGGGTACAAATATGAGAAAGGGCACAGCAAAGGAGCCAGAGCCTTCAACACACCTTAACTTTAGGATAGCTTTAGGAAACCATGACAGCTCTGGATGTGTTCAGCTGTAAGAACCTTGCATTCCCTGAATTCTTTTGGTTTTTCAGTTTTCTGATATCAGTTTAATTTGTATTTCCCATGCCATGTAATGGGAAGCATCTTAATTGATTCAATGAGGAGATGTGGGTAAAGCATCTGCCCAGAACAGATGCTCAAAGACTGCTAGTATAATAAAGACCATTACTCTTCCTCATGACCACGACAACATGGCAACGCTGTCAGATGCTGTGTTAGGGCACACATTACCGTCCTCCAAAAGGTAACCCAAGAATGGCAGGAAAGGGGGTGGTCAGTTACTAAGCATGGCAAGACTGACCTGGGCCACTGTCTGAGTGAGCACTCTTAGCCCCTGGCTAGGCAAAACACTCTGACCTGGCTATGAGGAGCCTATCAAAAATTTCTTGCCTCTGTCATAATTGTTTTCTGTCATTTTTGTTAATAACTGGAAAAAACAGAAAGAAAAAATTTGGCCTTTATTAGTTTTTCTTGGGTTCAGGAGAGATTAGAGGTGAGGAAGTAGATCAGAAAGAATGAAAAAATAGATCTCTCTCTGCCAAAGCATCTTCTAGCCTAAGCGATTTCTCCCTCTCTCTGCTTTTTTGTTGCTCTGGATTCCTGGGGTCAACATATACACCAAAAAGCATCTGCAGCTCAGTTCACAGGCAGCGAGAGTAAGGTTCCCACCTTTTCTCTATAGCAATCTCGATCCTTTTGATTGTGGGTGCACCCTTTCCTTCCCAGCGGACACAGCAATCCTCCTAGCACTTTCCACCAGACAAAACCTCTGCCACTCTACGTGGTACTTGCTGGATCAGATCGGTCCTCTCTTTTGGGAGACCCAGGAGGGAGGTGGTTAGCTCTAGGTGTAGCCATTTATCATTCGTTGTTTTCCAGTGAACTTGGAGGGAGCAAGAGAGGGCTGCCTGCCAAGAGCAGATGACTCTAGTATCAGGAACAGATGCGTGGGCAGGAGGGATCATGGAGATAGAGCAGAAACCGAGGAAGGATGAAGAAAGGCAAAAAGAAGAAGCATTATGCACACAGGGAGTGGAGAGGTAAGGGCCAAAGAAAGTTGAGTCGGAGTAGGCACAAGTGTCCCACATGGCAGATATACCACTATGTGCTCCCCCAGCATGTGCCCTTTGTTCCAAGACATACAGCTAGATGCACTTCACAGCCTTCCATGGTTAGATGGGGCGATGTGACCAAGCTCTGGCAAGTGGAAGGTGATTAGATGTAAACCATGTGACCTACTGTGCTGACCAGTAGAACCCTTCCACAATCAGGTGTGTTCTAACTTTCTGTTCAGTGGCTGAGAACAGCAGTCACGAAGGCAGCAAGGATTCTTGGTCTCAGAATGCCTGGGCAAAGCAGAGTTTCCCCATGCTGCAGACTTATTTAGGGCCACTGGGTAATGCATGAGGGGACACTTTGATGAGAGCGTGTCAGCCACTGAGACTTTTGGTATTTGGTAGTAAGGAGAGTGGCTTTCTTCTTCTTCTTCTCTCTGTTGCGATCAGCCATTGCTGACTAGTCAATTCTGTTATCCAACTACTTATAGATTACTTTGTAATAGACAAAAATTAATGAGTTTTATTTGTAACGAAGATAAATTGATGCGATTTTCATGGAAGAAAATTCAACACTTTACCTTAATAGCTTTGTTACTACTTATATTCTTTGATTTAATGATTCAACTTCCAGTTGGAAAACAATCAGAAATATCCAAAATTTATATATCAGAATAAAATATATATATATATACATATATATATATATAGAGAGAGAGAGAGAGAGAGAGAACATTATTTCATATGCATTTAAAAGGAGGCAATTTAAATATTCCACGAAAAGCAGCAAGTTAAATTGAGTATTATAGGTCCACATGGCAGTTTTAAACTGCCACACTATTCATGTTTTTGAGAATATCTTATCTCATAGAGAAATGATTTGGGTATAGTTATAGAAAGAAAGCAGATAACAGTATCACATGTATTGTAAAAATAGATTCAAATTGTGAGCATATTCTACTATATATAGAAATAAAGCAACATTTTAATAAAACATACTGATATCAATGAGACCTCAAGTGTTCAGATTTTAGGTGTCTTTTGTATTTTTATACATTTCTGGGGTTTTTTTTTTTTTTTGTACTCCGGCTATAAATATGTATTGCCTTTACAGCTGAAAAACATTTCTGATATAAAACAAACCCTAATCAGTCTTCAGTCTATTCCTAAATTTTTTATTTTTATTTAGGAGAAGGATATAGTTATAGACACTTTTTTAAAGTCAGAGAAGTTTAAAAAATCTTCATACCTTCTCTGTGCCATTCTTGAGGCAAGTGTGACTTTCTGCAAGGCCTGAGCTGCAGAGCCCCAGGTCTTGCTGGTTTGGGGCACTCAGCGCCTATAGCAGGGCTGCAGTAATGACAGGAGGCACTGCTGTCTGAAGCAGTATTCAGCTGTGGCTGCCTGTAGCGCCCCTGAGATTCTGATTTATGCACCTAGGGTGGGGCCCTGGCCTCTACATAGCTTTACAAATGCATCCATTTAATCCAACCAGACCTTTGAGACAATAGCCTGGCCCTGGAGCTTCTGATAAAAGGTCCTAGGTCCAAGCCTGTTGTTCTTGCTAATCAGCTGTATTATCCCAGTCCCATTATTCCACATTCCTCTGTAAGCAGGAACGTTTGTATTTGTCTGCTGTGCCTGCTAGGGCTACTTGATGCATTTCAGAAAGGACTGTGTGTGTGGGCACCGATCACAACTTTGCATTTGTACACAATGCTAAGCTGTTGCCTCATCCTGACTTTGGCTCTAGAGGGCCATGATGAGCTTTTACCACAAGTGCTACTGGGGCCTGGCCCCAAGCCTCAGTGCCACCTCAGGAAGACTGTGGGGTTCTTCCTGCATGAAGAAGGGCCCAGAGAAAATCTGTTGTTGGCACCAACTCCTCCTACACAGGCTTGTGACTAAGGAAAAGCCAGGCAACTGTCTCAGTTCCTCTTCCAGAAAATACTTTATTCATTATAAAGATCAACTGAAGTAGAGAACATGGAGCTTCTTGTAGTACCACAAAGTGGAATAATACTATACTACTACTACTAATAATGATGATGATACTATCAACATTGGGTAAATTAATAGAGTGCTCGATCTGGAGCACTTCTAAGTGATTTTATACTTTATATATGTTTATTTTCCCAGTTTTACATATGGAGAAACTGAGGCTCAGGGAGATTAGCAGTTCTTCCAAGGCTACACCTTAAGGGTGGTCTACCTGAGCTATAGATTTCAGCTGAGCTCATAGACATTCTTTCATATCATCATTTGTTAAGAATAAATGCTTGTTATTTATTGTAGGTATTTTAACAAAAATTGTATTTGAAATGGGAAACTATGGAGTTATAATTAAAGACAGAACTGCAATTTTCCACATGATCTCAGAATATTTGTGTGTGTGTGTGTATGTGTGTGTATATGTTTTGGGGGTGCAGTGATAAGAGCACAGGGCTCGAGCTAAGCTGACATTCCAGTTCTGATCCCTAGTGCATGTACAGATATTTGGGACATATTATTTAACCTCTTAAGGATGTTTTCATATCCTTAAGATGGGTGACCCAATACTACTTTTATAAAATTGTAAAGGCATGAGAAACTGTTTAGAACAGTAATAGCTAACATCAATCACATGTTCAATGTGCCAGGCACAGTTCCAAGCACTTCATGTCTATTAAGTCGCTTTATCCTCATAAAACCCAATGAGGAAGATAATACCCATTTTATAGACTGAGAAAGTGAAGCACAGAGAGGTTAAACAACTTGTGAAAGGTCACATAGCTAGTAGGTAGGGGAACACTTTTAACCACCAACTTGAGAACTGCACTGACCCAGGATTAGCATAATGAAAATGCCAAAGAACTATCAGTTGTCCCTAAGACATATGGTGGTGATTTTCAAACTATGACTCTCAGTTAGCAGGACTTTTATTTAAAAGAAGTCTTTTGGAAACCTTCAATTATATATTAAAGGTGTAGTTTCTTTGTTGAAGTACAGGTGAAGATTCCTCCTCCATCCCAGGCTCATCTATAGCAGCTCTGAGGCACTTTTGTGGATGCAGCGGCTCTGAGAAGCCCAGTTTGAAGACCCTGACTCTAGCTCTTGCATTCGTTGCATCTGTATCTGTACTTCCCCCTTTTCCTGCTCCTGTTTTAGCACAAACCCAGCAAATGAGAAGCCAGAAAACCAGAGATCAGAATATATGCCCCACTCTGCATAAGCCCCATTTCCCCCACCGCTCCTCCATGCAAACAGTTGGGACACAGGGGCTGTGCTAGAGACTCACCAGTTTTATCTGAGTTGCAGAGGATGGTTTCCTTCTCAGCCCTCACACCGGGGCTGGGGCCATGTTTCATCCACATGGTGATGGTGAACTGGTCCGTCAGGTTCTTAGGCACAATCCCATCTGGGATCTTGGCACCCTGTCTGCCATCAAACTTAAAGATCATCTCACTGCTGTCCACCAGCAGTCCTGAAGTCCAGTTGGTGGCAGCGCTGGGGGATGGCAGGAGGTCGATGATGCCAGAGGAGGCTCCTATAGGGAGAGGAAAAGGAAACGTGAAGGCCCATTCTTCTGGTCTAGGTGATTGGGAAAAGAGGTGCCAAAAAACATTCCACTCTGAGTTGCTTGTAACTTATAAATAAAAACAATGCATGTGTCAAGGTGAAGCATGACCAACTATTATATGAGGAAAAAAGTATTGGGTGAGTTTAAAGAGTTAGTAGAACCCTAAAGCCTTTTATTAGAAAGTTCCTGGGGTTTGATGAGCTGGATGGAGTCATTCATGTACTTACATATTCATTAACCTTTAAAACTTTTATTGAGTACTAAGAGCCAATATGTTCAGCTGCTATTATCAGGACTGTGAGTGGGGAAAGTTCTAGATCCTGATCCCATAGGAAAGAGTATGATCCACTTCATAATCACACTTTTGTATAACCACATGCTGAGGCCAAATGGCACTGTGTGGAGAATATGGGCTCTGAATTCAACATCTGAAATTTGATACCAGGCAGCATGACTTGCTAGCATTGTCACCCCTGTGACTCTCCTTGGTGTCTGGGGACTAAATGATGATGCACATCAGCTTGCGGCAGCACCCTTGCCACAAAGTGAGTGTTCACTTGTGTTTGCTCTAACTTTGTTGTCAGCATCATTATTATTTCTGGTACCACTGTTATTTTACAGGATGAGGTACAGGGACTTACCGCGAAGCACTGAGAGTGTACGGGCAGATTACTGTTGGGGGAGCATCCTGGGGAAGCTCTGCGGAGCAAAGGCTGAGGTGAGAGGGAGTGGCTCTCTGGCGGAGAGGTCTGGACTGCCCTGCTAGGAGGAGGCTCAGGCCCTGTCACTCTATATAGAGGCTCTAATGCAGAGCTCTTGATTCTGATCCCAATTCCTACAGAAGTACAGCTCCCTATGGAGGCACAGCTCAGCCATTCAGGGAGGAGGAAGGGCTGGGAGCTTGCTGTTATGTTTAACTAATAAGGACTGGAGGGTCTAGGGTGTGTTGGGATCTGGTGTATGGGGCTGTCTACTGGCGAGGCACTATCAGCTAGTTATAAACTCTGATGGGACCAGTGGTTTTGTGTATTATCTGCTACTTGTCACATTTGATTTTTCACTTGCAGCAGAGCATCATTTCACCCAGGGTTTGAATTTCAAGGACAGCCACCAACACACAAAAAGTCTCCTACAGTTAAAATGACCCTTGAAAGCTGTTACACAAGGTGCCATATTGGAATCCAATATATTGTATTTCTTTAAAATGTTCCACCCATCCAGCTTTTCCTCCAGCCCTGGAAGAGATCATTAGGTTGATACCCAGTGGTTTGCAGTGGAAGGTTATGTTATGTGAAAAACATGTCTCTTTGGAGCCTAGATCCTCTGCTTAGCCCTGTAAGAAATTCATGTTGAAAGTAGCCTCTAGACGTGTCTGAGAAGGTGGGAGATGCAGAGCTCTCAGTTCATGCTTATCTAGGGAGATGTGGGAAGAGCTGACTGCACTATTTATAGGGGTATTTCCTAGGTGGTTGCCTGTTCCTCCACCCGCCATGTCGTACGCATTCAGTTCTTTATGACCACACTCCCTCCACTGCACTGCCCCATCAGATGCTATGGCAACTTATCTGGTGCTCAGGTGAGCCTGTCCCTCAGCCTCTTGTCCATCTCCACACCTCCTGTCATCCTTGCTTCTCCACACCTGGTGTTTAATGACGAACATGATTTGCCCCCCTCAGCTAGTGCCCTCCATAGGTGTTTGTAGTAAAGCCGTTGATCAAGATGGCATCAAGGAGAAACTTGTGAGTGGTCTGGGAACGGGAGATACAGGGTCCTATGGAAAGAGTTCATTTCTCTAGCACCTATATAATAATAATATGACATGAAAACAACTTCTTTGGCCCACAAATACATTGGGCCCTATGGAAGGATATGTCTACTATGAAGACGTCCAGTGATTGGGACACACACATAGAGTGTGGATCCCGAAATCTGGGGTGGCTATAGAGATGCCGGTTGCTGGGTCAAGGGTTCCTGATTTCTACTTGAAGCCAGAATAATGTCCAGGTCAGGGGTATACACATGGCATCTGCTGAGTCCTGCTCTACCAACAGGGAGCAGCCAGGACTCTACACAAGGTTTCCTGGAGGAGGGCTTGGCAGGGCATGAAACTCTATCTTGTGAGCATCCTTATTTTGGCTAAGGACTTTGTTGTGCCTGTTAGGGACCTGACGCTGCCATCACAGGCTGCATTCTCCTGGCTCTTCTTGGCTCTTAAAATGACCTCATGCTCTTATCTTTAGTTTCCCTACCCCCAAGGGCACAGTGGTCTGGAGGAGTTAAGCCTAAGTTTCTGCAGGACTGAACCCATAAAAGGCGATCTGGCCTGTGAGAGGTTAAAAGTAGCCCACTCCTCATAAATAAGCAATAGCCCAGCCCCAAACCAATAAAAGGACCTTCCTTTCTTTGTTCTCTCTCCCTCTCTGTCTCTCTCTCTTCTCTCTCCCTGACCTGCCTTCCCGAATAAAGTCTCCTCGGTGTGTGGCCTAGTTGTTGAGCGCCACTGTGCCTCTACAGTGCCTATAGAATTAACACTGTAGGTAACACTTTAGAGCAGTGAAGAAATTGATAAAAAATGTGCCTCCATATCTTTGCAATCTTTAATAAAAAAAATGTGCCTCCAAACAGGTTTGGATAAAAAGAGAGAGGGGTACAGACTAAGGCCTAGTGTAGGACGGTAGGGGAGACATCAATGGAAGGTCCGGAGGCAAAACTGGTTACAGAGTGGCTCAGCCTTGGCCAGGGATATCCTACGAATATAGTTTACATTTACAGAGCTTTACATTTTACCATTTTATAATTTTAACTACTATTTTACTAAAACTATTTATTGGACACGGAGTAGATGCCAGGCCTGAATTTAGTAAGTACTTTCCATGCTCCTTCCTAGTTACTTGAATAGCTAGTAACTTAGATTTCCGTTTATAGATAAGAAACTCCAGGCAGAGTGAGTCCAGGATCACAACCGGCTAGTGAGGGGGTCCATGACCAGGGCATTCTAGCCCCAAGGCCCAGGCTGCACACTGCACCACCTCACCTGAGTTGAGGGAGAGAGAGAGAGAGAGAGAGGGAGAGAGAGAGAGAGCGCGAGCACACGTGCGCTTATTTTACAGCTTCCTGTGCATTTTGTAAACATGGAAACTGAGGCCTAGATAAGGGGACACCACTGGATCAAGACTGTGCAGCCACACAGCTAGCTAGAGGTAGGTGCTACTCTCAGACCTCCAGCTCATGTTCTTTCTCCCACACAGTAGCACTCAATCAGGTGACTGCCGAGCACAGCCTGGCTCCCTGGGATGGCACCTACACATAGAGATGGCTGCTCCCATGTTGAAGACATCAGGTGCCCTGGGAAGGCATTGATGTGGGGCTCCCCACCCTCCTCGTGGAGGAGGACAGACAGGCCACCCTCCCTATTCTACAGATGTTGTCTGCCAGAAAGCATGAAGCTGCATTTAGCCAGATGGTGCACACTTCCGCAAACTTAACAGATTGTGTTTCATTTCTTCGTACACTTAAACAAACTGAGAAAGATTTACTTTCTCCCAGAGTTCTGTGTCTTCTCCCCAAGGGATCCCACAGGAAAGCAGAGGGTAAACAGAATGCAGCACTTGCAGAGAAGGCGTAGCATCATCTGCACATCAAGGTGTATTTAGGATGCTCCTTAGGAATCCTCTTGACAGTGCCTGGAGCCCTTGGAGCCTGAGAATTCATGTTGATCTGGTGCATAACAGCAGCAGCTGGAGTGCTGGAGTGGCTTTGAACCAGAGGGAAGTTCTGATTTCAGGTCCCTTGGCCCTGCCTGGGTGGGGGAGCTGCTCTGAGCCAGAAAGGTGATAACCACTGGAGGAAATGAGGCAAATTTCAGGACACACTATGGGGCCTATGGGTGGTGGTTATTGTCTGAACTTAGTTTATGGGTTTACATTCTGATCTGAGTGGTTTGATGTTAGTTAGGGCAGACAGTGTCCTTAGTACTTCAAGACAGGCCCGTGGCAGAAGTGACTGACATGGAGCCCTCCAGATCCACCACAGGAGATGGGCATAAGTGGGAAAGTCTCAAGGAATGGAACCATTGTAATTGAGGAACAGGACTCAGTCTGTACAGCGTTCCCTGAAAGAAAAACATATATGGAGGAGGGAAGAAAAAAAAGAGAACCAAGACCACCTATCATTTAAAGGTACAAGATCCCAATAATGAATATAACTATACTATATACCTAAAATGTACCAATAAATTCAATAAAAGAAGAAAAACATATGGTGAACACAGCATATCAGTATCATTTCTATTGTATTTCAATAAATGGTTATTCGATTTTCAGGCTTTGCCAGGCATTGTCATGTGGGTGCAGCCATAAACCACAGAGAAATGGCTCTACTTTTGGGGACGCAGTAAAGCTTTTGCATTCTTGAAAGAGCAGTACAATGGGTGCAGCAGTTCAGTGGTAGGGAGAAGCTAGGAAAGGCCTCTACAAAAGTTCAATGGACTACTAGTCTCGTGAGGTGGAAGAAGATACGTATTCATAGCACAATTACCTGACCCATGATACCATCTTGGCCGTTTGACCAATGGAATGTGAGTGTGAGTGATGTGTTGCATCTGGGCAGAGGCTGGAGTAGCTAGTGCATGGCTCACCATGTGTCTCTTCTATCTTCCCTGAATGTTTTAGATAAAGGCTGCTCCACAGCCTGGATCCTGGTAGGAAGCCAACATGGAGCATAGCTACAGATAATCTAAGAAGGGCATGTAGTAGGAATGATAAACTTTTGTTATTTTAAGTCAGTGAGGTTATGAGAGCATTTGTTAGTGCAGCATAACCTTTATTATCCTGACTGATAATTCATGTAAGTGATCATTTTTGTTTCTCTATCTGCATTCCAGAAACACTGGCAAGGAGGATTTCCTGATATCTTTTCAAGAGTTTACAAACTGTTGGACCTACAATGAGACTATCATTCCACCTCTAGAATCCTAAATAGGAGGGATTCCCTTGAGGTCTTGGAACCAGGAATTTAAATTCTAGGTGAAGAAAGTTGGGCTTTGGATGAAAGGTGACCAGAGAGACTCTCAGGGCAGACATGTGGATACCTACCCAGTTGCTGACCAGCTTGGGTAAGGCCACTGAAGGCAAAACCCTTCTTCCTAGTTGAGAAGAGCATGTAATATGGTCATTGCTAAATGACCTCCCAAGAAAAAAGCATATCCAGAAATAGGCCCATGGATTGCTGACACAGGATTAGTGATTTAATCTGAATCCCAACATGTGTTCTCCTGTTTTCCTTCAGCTCTGAGTGTGGAAGCAGTGGCCATGACTAGGGGGTTAATATTCTTAGCCTTAGAAGCCCCAGGACTTTAGCAGTATCTTGGAGACACTCATGATAGCTTCCTGGGGTTTTGCTCTTCTGAGGTTATCAAAGCCTCTCATAGTTATTCTTACTGAGAAGAAGGTCTTTTAAACTGCAAGGTATATCAGAAAACTATAGATGCTCATACTTCCAAAAAAATTGCATTGAAACTTTTTAATGTATCTGTCTTCCCCAGGAGAGAATATTATTTATATTATTTCTTAAATTAAGTTTATTGGCACATTTTAGGTATACAGTAAGGTTACATTCATTATAGGGATCTTGTACCTCTACATGAAAAGTCTTGGTTCTCATTTTTTCCCCTTGTCCCTGCCCTCCCTTCACCCCCTCCTCCCCTCCCCATTTACAAACACTTTATTTCCATCTTTTCATTTTCTCATATTTTTTCCTTTTCCCTTATTACCTTTCCCCTACCCTTCCCACTTTCCCTACTATTTATATTATTTCAAGAGTTAGTTCAGCATTTGGACAGACAGCCGATAGTTGTTGAAGTAAAAAATACACGATTGAATGAATAAATCTGTCCTCTATGAATATCTCTTGGCTAATAAGTGTACAAATCCCCCAAACAACTTAAGGTTCACTTGTGCTTCTCTGCCATATGAAGCATTTGATTTTAATGGAACCCTCACACTTTGTGGCCTTTTTTTCGACAGGACTTTTCCTGGAAGTCTTTGCTCACAAACAGAACAGCTGCCCCTGGCAGTGAGTGCAGGAGGTAGTGGCCAGTGGCCAGGAGCCCTGTGGTCCCTGGGAAGCAGCCCCTGACTTTGGTGCTATAAAGGGTACATGCATTACAAGGTACTTTTCTATTTCCTGTAATGTACAGTGATGTAGGGTCATTGAAGTGGACCTTTCCTTGGGTGGTTGCTAATGTCAAGTTTAATTTGGCCGAGAGGTCTCCCTGAAGGATTCTTTATGCTTTTCATACTCTATGCAGCACTGTGACACTTGCCCTCTGGAAAGCCTGGTTCTGAGATGGTGGGTTCTTCACTTATATCCCTGAATTTGAAATAAGTGACAGGCAGTTGGTCAAGAAGAAGTCTGGCTTTATGTGAAGTTAGGGCAGTGAGAACAATCTTAGATTACATTTGGTCCACATGTAAAGGAGACACAGGTTCAGGGCTCTCTATTGGCTTTGTCTATAGCCAAATGGAAGTGTCTCCATGTATTGATCTCAGGAAGCAACATTTCTGACACGCAGACCCAAATAAGGCATTTTAAGGTTGCTGCTTCTGCTCGACCTTATTCATGGTAGGTCTGATACGCACCATTGTTTCCTTTCCCCTTAAATAGTGTTGAATTTCTCATTTCCTTTCATACTAGGAATTAGCACACAGTGACCCGATTACTGATCAGCTACAGCATCACAGAGAAAGCTCCAAAACTGCAGCCACCCTAGAAAAACCACAGGACAGACCTCTGCTATACACAGAAACAGGTCACCAGTAATTGTAGGGAAAGACTTGGAAGGAGAAGAGAAGAGATCATCTTGTGGTGGAAAACATGACTGAAGGCTTGGGGATGAGAACAAAGCAGGCAGAGACCAAAGTGGAGGACAAACCAGGCTGTAACAGTGGATGAGGTGGGGGAGATGGCTCATCAGGAGGGCTGAGAGGCAGGGTAAACTTTGGTGCTCACACCTGTGTAAGGTGCGACTATCATAACTGTGCTGTATATCTGCTCTTGTTGCTGAATTTCTAGTTTTGGCTGGCAGCCTTCTCATCCAGGTAGATACTCAACTAGAATCTGCTTAGATTCCTCCTTTCTCATTCTTGACAGCTAATCAATCATTAAACTTCACTGATTTTGCCTCTTAAATTTGTCTTAAATTCATCCCTACTGCCACTCCCTTGGTTCAGAACTCATTATCTCTTGCTTAGACTACAGCAATAACTTCCTAATTGGTGTCCCTGTTTCCCTCAAAAGTCAATAAAGATTTGTAGGATGAAAAATGCATGAATGCTGAGGCTTAAAGTGTCGTGGCTGCTCTCTAGTTGGGAAGTATAGCAAGAAGCTTTTCCCTCATCCCATGAAAACACACAGAAGCTTGTCTCTAAAACTCACGGTGCCCACAGGAATCAGGGATTTGTGGCCCAGGATTAGTCTTGGGAGTCATCCAGCCTGCATTTCCCTTAGAGTTTGGAAAGATCCTGGCCTCTGGGATCTCACTCCTTTGCTTCTGCCCTTTCGATGTGGGCTCTCACCAGCGCAAGTCAAGAGTCATGCTTCTGACATGAGGCTAGAGTGGCAAGCCACCAGGGCTACTGGGACAAGGTTCCTAGAAATGTGGTGGGCCGTGCTACTAGGTAGGTCATCAGAGAGAAACCAGATTTTTCTCATTTAAACGGCAGCTCCCAGCATCAGATTAAGCTTCACCTTGCAGGGAAGCTGCCTTCTCGGCTGAGTTAGCCTGCTTTTCGGCAAGGCCAGGCTGGCAGCCCAGATGGAGGGTGCTCTGTGAAAACACCACACACAATTTTGCTCAGAAGCATCTTTCCTTAGAACATCCTTTTTACCCTCTGTATCTCCCATCTCTCCCCAGAAACATTCGAAATCACATCACAAGCCCATGCCCTTGGGCCCATCTGATCTTTAACAAGCTGATTCCATCATTTTCTTCTAACCTGGAGGAGTTTAGGAAATGACTCTAACCCACAGCAGCGAGGGTTGGGTTGACTAATAATCCAGGTACTACATCGGGAATGAAATGGGATATTCATTCCAAGTAAGAGATCATCTTAGATAGTGTCTGTGCCTGCAGAGGACTGGAGGCAGTTTTCTCAATAGTGCAGTTCGCTTGTATCGATTTTTGTAAGGTGGTTGTTGTAATATTGGAATTGTGGTGTTTTCTCCAGGCAGCTACCTTGTTCCTGAGAGGTCTGCATGCCCACAGGCCTTCCCTGCCAGCCCCGTAACACCCAAACAGGGGTTATTTTGGTTCTAAAGCTTTTATACCAGTATTTGTGCCAGAGCAGTGAGGGTGAAAGGGTGTGAGGGAGGGAGAAACCTACCCCAAATATAATAGGGGTGGGGATTTTTCTGGGGACAGCAGGCTACATTATGTATTCTGGAGCTCCCCTTCCTCTTGAGGAGATGCAGTTACCTCCAAATACAGTTCCAACATAGGAATCATCCCCATACTAAGCTCCCATGGCGTGGTTTGGGAGTAAAATATGAGTCCCTGGATATTCCTGAAGAGAATAAGGAAGCAATGAGCTGTACACAGGTGTGGGATGAAGGGGGCCCATCAGCATCTGGCTCACCCAGCCTATGGGGCCATCCCCACCTCATGGGATGCACATCCTCTCCTTCCACAGATTCACTGGAGAGTTGTATTCTAGCTCGCAGAGCCTGGCTGGCCTGGGCCGATGCTGAGCTAAAGACTTGACAGCAAATCCCAGCTCTGTCATTTTCTATCTGTGTGAATTTAAGCAAGTTATTTTATACTCTGGGCTTCACATTTCCATCTCTAAAACTGAATGAATAATGTCTTGCCCACAGTGAGGATGGGGAACTCAATTAAAAAGGACACACAAAGAGACTCACAATAGTCTTTAAACAAAATGAGGCTTTCTCCACACTCATCTTTCATAGCATCCTCTGTCAACTTGGTTTCCTAACTCTTGACCTGGAACAAGCCACCCAACTCCATTTGAGTATTTCATTCTCCCTCTTCCACCCCACCCCAAGCCCCTTTCTGCTGTGGACAGCCTGACTCCCTTTCACTGGCATGGGACATAAGCAGTTGCACAGGTTCCCAAGCTTAGCTGTATGTATTTGGATTAATGCTTTGCTGTCGCCAAATTCTTAATAACTTTTGAGCAAGAGTCCTACTTTTTTTTTTTTTTTTTGCAATGGGACTCAGAAATTATGTACCTAGCCAGCCGGAGTGGAGACCAACTCCTTCCCCAAGGCCCTAGTCAGATGGTTCTCTATAGCAGAGCAAAAGGAAGCTTGCCGGTCTTTTGGCTCTGTGCCACATGTTTTTAAACATGTTGTGCTCTTTGATTCCTCTTTTACTAATAAAGAGCAGAAAGTTCACTTTTGTACTTGACTAAGGCCACATGGCTGACAAAGAGTCCCAATCAGCCCTGGTACCGAAAGCTAGGCTGTCTGACCCTTTGTTAGAAGTAAATATCTGCTCATGTTGCACACACTGATGCAGGTGGGAAGGGCTGATTATTTTCTAATATAATAAGTGATGCCTTATTGGTTTATATCATTTAATAGCAGTTCACTCAACAAATCTTACCAGGGAAAACCTACCACATAATTTCTGAAGGGCTCTCTCAGAGTATGTCTCCCGGTCACAGCCCTTCCCGATGTAGTTGGTCTGCAGCTCAGTAGTGACCTGGAGAGAGGACACAGCTCCATCGCACGTCTCCAGGTGGATGCTGGGGAATAAGGGTAGACTCCCCGAACCAGGCTGGTACTCAATCCTCTTGGTCCAATCTGAATAAACAAGGAGATAATCAAAAGTAAATCAGATACGGTCCATCCTACCAGAATACCTGTTTCAAAAATGTGAATGTGTTTCAACAAATTATTTGTCTTGACAAATATATTAAAGAATGGTTTGAGGAGTATGGACATTCTGTATGTGCTGATACAAGATTTTTCCCCAGAGATAGACTGCAGATACAGAAAACCACACCCAGTTGAACTGATCCCCACAGAATAGACAACCCACAAAAGCACATGTCGTACATGTTTACCAGTTTCTTAGTTCACCATATGCTATGAAAGAAATAGAATGAGCTGCAACACTCAAAAGCATCACCAGTGATGCATCAAAAAGGGAGTAAAAAGAAAACCTTAGCGCAGTTTTACACAAGTGCTACAGTGAATATGGTGCTTGACCTTGAAGAGATTTGATGTTTGCTGGTTCGAAGTGGACCTAGCAGGGCTGCAGCTGCTGTACTGTTGTGAAGTAGTAGAAGGAGGTTCTCAGGAACAGACAGAAACTTGTGACTGCAGGTGTGGATGTGTCCATTTCCATCCGCAAATATCAACCCTGCTCAAGGTCAGGCACCACGCTGCAGTGCTTGCACAGAACTGCTCACTGTCTTTTCCCTCTTTTACATCACTGGTGACATTTTTGAGTGCTGTGCCTCTCCCCCTATCTCCTCCATTTTGCCTCACTCGATGATTTTCAGAAACACGTGTGCCATATTTTAAAGCAGAAGTGAGCACGGTCATTCGAGGATGAGATGAGATCACAAGGCAAGGTGCAAGGCAGGGCTTTGGCTTGCTGAAGTAGGGCTGATGAGCTTGTCATCACTTTTCTGTGGAAAATTAATTGAAAGACAATAAACCATAGAGAAACAAAGGCACAATGAAGATGGCACCACGCAAGAACAGCACAATGAACAAAAATAGACACTAAGAGTGTGTGTGCCCAGGAATGGATCTGATACATAGCAGTAACGACTGAGAGTCACAGCCATTCAAGGTGATGCTCAGAGCCTGGGAACACATGCTTGCTCACAACATGGGCACCTCATGCTCTGTGAGGATGTGTATCTGAGAGGTTGTGCAACTGCCCTCAGCCAGACTTGAGTGTGGAACAGTGAATGGAGCCATCAACTGTAAGACTTGAATAAGCTAAAGTGACTCCATGCTAATAGGCCAGAGACTGTGCTTCTTCATATGCTAATTGCTAACTTGGCTAACAGCCCGCCCAGGGGCAAATGGTATGACAAAAGGTGACCATAGAACATTTCCTGCATGAGATAAGCAATGTGTTTTGGAATCTTGTCCTCTGGTAGTTCTGTGAATGCCCTGAGGACCTCAGCCCCTGAGCAGTGGCCTCTCTGAGCTACGTGGCTCTGGGAGTGCCGTCTGGCCAGACCAATAAAGGTCTATTTACCATCTAGCCTGGTGTGTTCCTTCCGGGGTTTCTCCTTCCTTGTTCCTCCGTCAAGCTCCCGGAGCCTCGCTGGGTGTTAGGACCCAGCATCGTGGAGGCCTTTTCGGCTGTTCAAGCTTCGTGGAGTGGAAGTGAGACTTTAAGTCTTACACAACAAATGTACTTAGGACGACTATCAGGTTTTGATATCAGTACTAACCAAGTCTTGCATTTATGGGACCTGGTGTCACTCTGCAGCCACCAGGAGGCTGTGCATACTCCCCAGCGGGCCACTGGCTACCATCATGGTGATTCCAGTCCCGTGGAGAAGGTTGAATTTAAGAAACAGCCAGCACAATCACTTATTTAGGGATCCAATGTGCCAGGTTTTCCTTAGAGCACCAAGGACATACTGGTGATGAGGTGATGAATCAGGGGCAGACAGCTAGAAAGTGAATAGGCCTGTGGTGTCCTATTATGAGAAAGTAAGGAGAGCAGAAGTTGGGAGACAGGGGACAACTTCAGATGCAGGGTCCACATCTGTACCGAAGTCTGAACGACAAGGATGAATGTGCTCCCAGGAAGCCTCGGAGAAGCACAGACAGCACTGATCTTGGTTTGACCCCAGGAGGGCAGAAAGTTCTTGGACAGATTGCTGAAGGTCTCCAAGCCTCAGGCACCATATCAGGAAAATAAGGACTGTAGCACTGACCTTCCAGAGTTGGAGCAAGGATGGAGTGTGACAAAGTATTCTGGGTACATAGCAGATCCCTGATCAATGTCATCCTGCGGCGAGGAAGAGGGCAAAGCCTCTCTGTGCTGCACCCCTGCCATGTTCCAGATAAATATATAATCTGGGTCTAAATCTGAAACCCCCTTGTCTAATGGCTGTACATTTGGGGGTTATTCAGAGTTTGGATGAGCAGAGTTTGCAAATCATAATTGTGAGGTTCATCCCCAGAGAACTTACAAGGGAAGGATGCTTGGATGAGTGTGGCTGCACCTAAAAGGAGAATACATCTGATCACAGCCCCCAGGAGCTGAGACTGGACTAGCTGCCTGCAGGATGAAAGCTTGGCCCCAAGTTTCACCCTTAGAACAAACCACTGAAGCAAAGGAAGGCTTTTTGTCAGGTGTATCCGAAAGTTGCTGGGCTGAAAGAAGTTGTCCACAGCCAGCCAGGTGTATAGCATCCTAGGTGTAAATTATCCGAGCCTGAGTGCATTTGATCATGTTTTTCTTTCTACGTGAAGTTCCCTTTCATCTTCACCTCCTCCATGCAGGATTTCTCCAGTCTGGGTAAGTATGCTCCTCTGTGCCCCCACAGCATGGGCAACATTAGACTGTAGCATTAGACCCAAGCTTCGGGGTGACTCTGAGTCCCCATTGTAATACTTGAATAAGCTAAAGTGACTCCATGCTAACAGGCCAGAGACTGTGCTTCTTCATATGGTAACTGCTAACTGGGCTAACAGCCAGCCCAGGGGCAAATGGTATGGCAAAAGGTGACCATAGAACATTTCCTGCATGAGATAAGCAATGTGTTTTGGAATCTTGTCCTCTGGTAGTTCTGTGAATGCCCTGACTTTTTGTTTAGAAAAACCCTATAAAAAGGACCTCAGCCCCTGAGCAGTTCTCTCTCTGAGCTACCTGGCTCTGGAAGTGCCTTCTGGCCAGACTAATAAAGGTCTATTTACCATCTAGCCTGGTGTGTTACCTCCAGGGTTTCTCGTTTCTCCATAGAGCTCCAGGAGCCTCACCAGGTGTTAGGACCCAGCATCGTGGAGACCTTTTCTGCTGTTCACGCTCCGTGGAGTGGAAGTGAGACTTTAAGTCTTACACCATCATGCTGCATGGTCCTTGGCATAAAGTAGAGTCTCACTGGTTTGCAGTGCCAAGTGTGAAAAAATCCTATTGCATATGATAGTGAAAATACCTATTCATATGACCATCTCCCTCAGTAACCGTGGACCCTTCACCACAGGGGCTGTGATGTTTGCTTTTGAGCCCTCTATAAGATCAGAATGCAGAAAATACTTGCAGGTGGATCTGCGGAGCCCCAGCCACCTCACTCTGACTGCTGCCCAGACAGCCCTCCTTGAGCTGCAGATAGAAACCAGACCTGTTTGCAGCTCCTCTGCACTGACCCTGATCTACCACCTGCAGTTTACAGAACCAACCACTCTCACAGCAGCACACGACCTGTTTAGTTGTCATTGTTCTTGACAAGGCAATTGGTCCTAAACTGAATATGGTCTTCTGCTTCACAATAATAAGAGATAGCACCAAGCAGGAAGCCTATTCTTCTCCTCACCCCAGGACCCTTCCCTTTCTATAGTGTTGCAAATTAATAAGTGGAGATCCTCTGTGTGAGCCCCACAGAACTAGCTCTTACTTTTAGCCAGTAAGAGCCCTGTCAGAATATCTGTTCTGGTTGGTCACAGGGTAGGGAAGTCTTGTCCCTGGAGACAACCAAGATACTCTTGGTATTGACTCCCTTTATTCCATAGGCCCTGCAATCATCTGTTTTGAATCTATACATTTTGGTAGGTATTTCTGATTCAAAATTCCATCTCAAATCTCTTTCAAGAGGAGAGCAAACAAACCAGCATCCAGCAAGTAAATCACAACAGGAAAGCCAGAGAAAACAAAATCCTGGCCGTTTCCATCCTCTGGCCATGCCTGGCTGGGGGGCAGGGCCCTGTTTGCCTTCAGGGAGAAATCAGGTATGGAAGGGCGTTAGGAATATCACAGCTGCCAGTGGCTTTGGTGACCCCTTTGAGGCTTGTTTTTGACCGTTATGAGGTGCTGGCAAAATCGCCACTATATAGTTAAAAAAAAAAAAAAATCAATGAAGCTTTCTGAGCACAATGTCCTTGAGAGAGTAGGGAGTATACACACTTTCAACTTTTCCAGAAGGAATTTGTGTGGGGATTAAGAGAGCAAAAGGCAAACCACCTAATTCAGCTCCTGGCACGTGGAATATCTATTCCTCTTCATATTCAGGAGGGTAAGACAGCAAGGTAGTCAAAGGTAAGAACTCGAAATTCTGCAGACTGGGCTATAAGTCTCAGCCTTGGCACTCCCTGTGAAAATCTTGGCAAATCATTTAGCATCCTGAAGTCTCAGTTTCTTCTTCTGTAAAATGTGTACCTTACTACCCAGAATTTGGGAGAGGAGAGATTAACTGCATGGTCATTTCAGCGCCAAATATAAAGATCATGTTCAACAGATGCTATTATTAAATTATCATTGATTAAATAATACTAATTTCAAAAAATAACAAATGTTAAGCATCTACAATGTATCGAGCACTTTACATCTAATTTTTCATTTAATCCTCTGAGGCCCCAGTGAAGGGGTATTACTACCATAATTGCACAAATGATGAAACCATAGCTGAGTTATTGTAACTTGACTAAAGCCACAGAACTCTTACAAAAGCTCCTCTATCTATTCAAGGATTTTTCAGAACCAAGAACAATTATAATTCATACAGATTCATTTTTGAATATTCAATTCAATTCACACTGGATTTTTAAAAAGGATAACCCTGATGTTGATAGACGATTAGGAGTCTGTTTGGTTTCATCACTGCCTGGCT